GGGGGGAGAAGGAAGCCCCTTGGAGCCTGAGGTACAGCCAGGCACTCTGAGGATGCCACCCACCCCTTCAGACCAGCCCTTCCAGTTAGAAGTCACCCTACTCTGACTGATGGGGAACATGAGGTTCAGAGAGGTGCAGCCACTCTCCCGAGGCCACACAGCTCAGCGGTGGCAGGTCCTGTCTGACTCCAAAGCTCAGCCTCCGTCCAGGAACCAAAGGGCAGTGGCTGTGAACTCACAGCGAGTGGGTCAGGCATCTGTCCTTCCAGCGGCCACCAAGCACACGCTGACCCGGGCGTGTTGCATCAGCCTGAGCCTGGCGGGAGCAGCGGGGGAAGCCGGGGGGCGGGTACATCAGCCTGAGCCGCAGTCCCCGCGGGGAGCAGACCCGAGCCACGTTCGAGTGGGGGGTGGGCTTGTTGTGCAGAAAAGACTTGTCTGGGGTGCGAGTCCCGACTGAGAATCTGAGCTAACAGATTAGTTTTCTCATCTGTAAATGGGATAAGGATACACCCCTCGTGTGTGTGTGTGTGTGGGTGTATGTGTGTGTGTATGTGTGTGTGTATGTCTGTGGGGGAGTGTGTGTGGGGTGTGTGTGTATGTGCGTATGTGTGTGGGAGTGTGTGTGTGTGTGTGAGAGAGAGAGAGAGAGAGGCTCCTAGAAAATGCAGAGTGTATAGGTTTGTACAGAAAAGTCAAAAGAGAGGGGACAATTATGGAATGAGCTACCCTGCACACATCTGTACATCTCATTCAAGGCCAACTTTATATCTGTCCTTGACCCCATTCATTATCTCTTTCTGAGGGGACTTCTTTAGTTAGTATGCCTTCTTTCCCTCTTTACTGGCTACATTCCCTCAACTTATTAACATACTCAAATTTCTCCAATCCCTTCCCAATTTAATATTATGTCAATAATAAAAACCACATTTTATTGGTATCTAATCTGGTTCCCTGATGTATTCTCAGGCTCGAAAATTGGCATAAGAAAAATGCTCAATTAGCATTCATTCAGTGAATGAAATTACAGTTTCTTGTAAAATAAATTAGAAGAGACTGGGAGAGTGTGGAATGAGTGGCTGAAAGCTGCAAAATTCTATTTTTGGGTTGCTGAGTTTACTCTGGCAGTTAAAAGTTTTCATTTCTTCCTAGCGTCTACCAGCCATGGGCAAACTACATGGAACTTGGACATGCCCTTTGTTGACATAGGGGGCGGGGGGTGCCCGAGGCAGACCCTCCTCTCGCTGGAGAAGCCAGGCTGTGGCCGGTGGGAACTCACGGTCGCCCTGAGGCTACTCCCCAGAGAAGCCTGTTTTCACCCACACCCTGAACTTCTTTGAGTCCAATGGCAGGTCTGCGATTCGGGCCCAGGCCAGCTGGGTCCAGGCCTGAGCTGGACCTTCCCTACCCCCTGCCCTCCGCCCTCCGCCCTCCGCCCTCTGCCCTCTGCCCTGCCGGCTCCCAGCCGCCTTGCTGCCCAGCGGTGCTATTTCCCTCAAGTTCTGGACCCGAAGGCCATTCAGGAAAGTCTGCGGGGGAGGGGGAGGGCCTGGGCATCTCATTCACGCCCGCGGTGGCACTGAGGGCTGCCTCCCTCCCGTCCTGCCCCCGAGGGCTGGGGAGCGTCCAGCTGCCCTGGCATTGGCATCGGCCAAGGGAGCGGAGCTCACCCAGGGCTGGGGAGAGCGAGCGGCGTCGAGCTCCGTGAGGAGGACGTGCAATTGGTCTCGGGCCCGGGACCCTGGGGTGCGCGGTCCTCCAAGGCCAGTGCGCGGCTTCCCGTGGGTCCCGTCTCAGCGCCTC